CATCGTTCAAAATACTTCAGAAAAAAAGTCACATCCACTATTTTGTCTACCCAAAGACTAATTCAATCATTTTATTGACGTGGATACGTCTATGGTTTCAATATGGGAGGTTATTTCGGGAAATGGTCCTTATGTGTAGCGCCATCTATCGGAATTCTAGAAAATTCTAGACATTTCGAGGTAATTTGAGAAGTTTCTTGAAATTTCGAAAAAATTGAAGGAGTTTCTAGGAAATTCGAGAGAATTCAAGGAGTTTCCAGAAAATTCGAGGGAATGCAAGGAGTTTCTAGGAAATTCGAGAAAGAAGGAAAGACCATGGACGTATCCACGTACAATTACAGCTGTATTGAAGATACAGCTCTCTGCAATTTTATTCACAAAATGTAATGCAACGACCCAATCTCCCCGGAAAACCTCTCACGTTTTTACCTAAAATCACTCATCACTACAAGTCCCTATCTACAAAGATGTGAAAAATTAACTCTTCACCTCTCTCCACTGACATTTGTTTCCCAACCACGCAATCTCCGAAGCGGTAGTCTTCAAAATGAAAAGATTAGAGACCCTTTTCGTAGCTGAGAAGACTCCCATAAAAAAAGTCTCACACAATTTTCTCCTAGAAGAGCTCATCCTCCAGATAAAAATATGATTAATAGACCGATATAAGACCACTTATGAAAGACGTTTTATTCCTGGAATAATCCTCTAATAACCGAGAAATTCCAGCGTCACCTCTTCCTTGAATTGTAATTCTCATGTTAGCAAGTAGCTATGACGCCTGTATATGATGCATCAGACTGATTTGTGGTGCTTACGGCTGCAGAATAAAAAGCAATAATCACGTTTTGAAATGAGATAACACGTGCGTTCACTTTTAACTCACGGAGGTGTAGTGCGTATGTTATGTCGCCAAGCGCGTGGCTCTTGTTGATGAAAGCTTATCAGAAAATGATGGGGGGGAGGCACGCGTGTTCCAATATGCACAGTTGGAATCGGGTTCTCTTGTTGGTACAAACCCCGAGTTTATCCCTGACCGACAAATTTTTATTGCCTCCTGAGGTCACAACCATTTACTCCTTCAGGCCCTGTTGTATCATAATGTCATTAATTCTCGAGAGGCTTTTATTTATTTTGATAAGAGAGGAGAAAAAACGCTGGGAGTTTTATTTGGAGGTGGAATTTGAGGGAATTTAGGAGGTTCTTCACCTTTACTCAGATCGAGGCGCCTGATTCACGAAATTTATCTTAAATGTCTCTTCAGATCTTTTCTCACTTCGGGAAAGTAGGCTGAGATCTTTTTGGAGCCTATGGGCATAATTTATTGTAGTTTTTTTTAGAGACCGTTGATGGGGACAGAGATACCAATCTTAATGTTGTATTTTGAATATTTTGTTGGAAATTGTAGATTCATTTATTACCAACCTTTTTTATTTTTACACTGAGAAAAAAAAATTCTAAGAAATAGAGATTCTATGATTGATCCAAATCGTTCATCGATTGAATAGTCGCAAAAGAAAATGCTATTGTAAGACACAAATATCGATTTAATTTTAATGTTTTCGATTGAAAAAGAATGAAATCAGTTATCTAAACTTTCTTTTTGTTACTACAGTAGACTCTCGTTATAGTCGCACTCACGGGGCTGTAGGGGCAGCCGATTCTGAGAATGGGACTGTATTTCTCTTCCCCCACCAGGCGTTTACGGTAAGCCTAAATTCCGGGAATCGGGAGCGATAAGAAAATAAATTTTACTCCAATTATTTTTCTCTTCAATTTGCATTGAACATTTTTATTAAATATAAAAATTATTTTCATTAAACACTTTTATTAAATTAACAAAATGAATTGCGTTGAACACTTTTAGTAAATTAATGAAATGAATAGAAATATTAATAACATCGCATTGTTCAATACACTCCAAAATTTATTCACTTCATTCAAATAAAAAGCAGGATTATGCACCACTGCAAAGACCCTCTCTTCGTGACAGTCAAGAGTGAACTGAATTTCTCTCTCGCAAATTCATTTTTCCTAAATTTTATTTCCCGAATTTCTTAGAAATGCAAAACAAAGCCCATTCCGAGAAAACACAGGGGCATTTAAATCCACACCTCGGAGGTGGTACGGAGTGGGGGAAGCGCTCGAGCTCGAAAAAATCGATATGAGGGGAAATGCGACTATAACGAATGCGACTATAACGAGAGTCTACTGTATTTACTTTTCAGTACGTACAAATCAATGTCTGTATTATCAGATATCTTCTTCGAATAAAGCATGTAATTATCAAATTTATCAGCGTCACGATATCTCGCAAAAGAATATCTGTTTGATTGAAAGCCGAATTCATAGATGCAATAAAATATTCATTTGGTCTATGAGGAACATATTGTTGGATACTCATTGATGCGAGACTTTCGCG